GGGCCTGGATTTCAATGCAAAGTGCATATTTTTTTTTTTTGGTGATCTTAGACAATGCTTTCCAAGTACGTAATTTATTTCATGAAACAGATACTTGATCGGTAAAACTTTTATTTTTCATTTGTTAGCAGTTTTTGGTTATTTTGTTAGTTTTAATGCATATTTATGTATCATACATCTTCAGAAGCAGATTTAGTTCATCTTCTAAGGAGTGAGAGGCAATATCCTTTTGGTCCAAATATTCTACTTTTAACTATTTACCCACTTAGGCTTGTAAACAGGAAACAACAAGTATCCAATGGTAAAGTTTGTAGGCCTTGATTAAAATGTATAAACATTAAACACTCTGAAATTCTAATCAGATTTCTGGTTTCTTTTTTTCAATAAATGTTTAGTACATAATTTTTAATTTATTGTAAATTTTAAATTAGGTAGGTAGGTATATCTAATAAAACATTTCATTAAAAAAGTAATTTTATATATCAATTGTTAAGGGAATTTTTGCAGTAAAATACATTTTTAGCTATTTTTTAGAGTTTTTTTTGACAATTTTTAGAGCATTTAAACTGGGCCCGCATAGCATACTAATTATAAATATATAATGTATAATACTATAATATATTGAATATAATTATTAAAAACCATGTGTCCATGTACATAATATACTATTTACCGTACACATATAATCAGAATATATAGGGTGTAACAGATAGAACTGACTTTTGGAATAACTTTTGTTCTAAATTCAGGGTTGGGCAAATTTTTGTATACAAGTTTTGTACAGTATAAAATCTATAAAACAATAAAACCTTATGTTTTTTTTAAATATTATTAGTAGTTAATAGTTATAGCCTATAGGTGTTATATAGTGATTAAAATAATAATTATTGTAATTCTCTGCACTGATTGTTGATGTTTTTTATTAACTTTATTTAAATAAACACAAGCACAAAATTAAATAACTTGAGAAAATATGTTTATTCAACTTCTAATCAATATTTAAAATTTTATTTTTATATAGGTATAATTTATAGTCACTTCATATATGTATTATACAATAAATTGCTTTTATATTTTAACACTGAAAATAAAAAAAATTTAAATTTGATTTCCATTTTTTTTGGATATATTCAAAATAGCCAATTTGTGAATCTGATTATAAGAACAATTTTGATAGTTTTTTTTTTCTTTCATATGGCGTTGCTTTTGATGAAAACGTACATAACTTAACTAAAATTACTTAACCAAATATTTAAATTACAAATACCCATTACACTAGCTAAATAAACTGAAACAATATAATTTAAATATATGGAGTCCCAAACTATAAAAATATATAAATAAAACAAAATAAAATAAATAAAAAAGTTCAAAGATGACTGCTGGGTGTGACTAAAAATAGTAACACATATAAATATACAATGATATAAATAAGAATTTTCTCACTTTCTAAATGTGTAGTTCTAGGTTAAGTAGCCGATCTTATGCCTCACTGCCACCTTTGCGGAGCTCTGCTATTCCTCCTTCATATTTTGAACGCGGATGTGACTCAACGATGTGTTTGATAGTTTGAACCTGCCTATACTCACAGAGTGGTTTATCTTTCATTTTCCATTTATGTAAAAGAAACTTACATTTTCCCTGTTCTGTCCTGATACGGTTTAAAGCAGACTACGTTGCACAAGGAAGTTCAAATCCTGGAACTCTAAGTCGGGTAATTGATAAGAGAGCTATTTACTACGTTTTCATCTTTCCAGCTTTTTTTCCACATATTTTCTTGGTTATCCGTTGTGTTCTCGATTGCCCGGATGGGAGGGTGTCTAGATTTTAGTCTTTTATATGGTGCTTTACTTATGTCATTAAATATTGGAAGGTTTGTCGAGTTTTGGACTTGTTGAAGTAGTTTTATGGTTGCTGCATATCTACGGAATTCTGGTGGTGCTATATTTCATGATGGTGGTTTGTACACATTAAATATTGTCAAGTTGTCTATTCGGACCCCTGTTGCATTGTTATTTCTTGCCACCTGCTCAATGTTACCAAAGGATTTCTTTTGGTTGATATACGTTGCTAATCCATGCTTATTGTGTCCAATGCAACTTAGCATACCAAAGCCAGAAATCTAGAGGCGATTTGTTTCCTCTTCAAGAACATGAGTCTCTTGTAATGTTAAAACGTCTATTTCAGAAAAAGTTTTACTTATTATCTCTGCCTTAGCTCTCGTCAGTCTTTCAACGTTTAATTGGGCTATTTTGATGCTATTCCTCGCAATTCTATTATTTTTTAAATCACTATGTATTAGGCTGTCATACTTTTTTGGTCTTTTCTTTGATTTTTTTTATATATTTTGTGTTTTAATTTTTGATTAAAAATTGTGTCGCGTGTTTGGCACGTCTGTCAGATGGGTTTTGATAGTAAAAACATTTATCTAATATAATATAATTTCTAAAAATATCAATATTTTTTTGATTAAATTAATATGGAACATAATAACTTTTTTCAAAATATTTTTTTTGAGAATTTGCTGACATGAGTATATTTCTTAAATTATTTACTTATCATATAATTTTAACAATTTTTGTCATACGTTTAAGTAGTATCATTTTTTTTTTTTTTCATCAGGTCATTTGTTACATCTTATATAGTAGGTAATAAATGACAATAATTCCACAAATATACTTAACTAATTTTTCTATAATATAAAAGGATTAGCTAAAATTAGTAGTTTTTAGTTGGTATTTCCACATACAACATAGTATAGTTCTATGGTATTACAATACTGGGTGATTCTTTTATCAAACAACACTCATTATTTCAAAAAGTGTAAATTTTTTTGAAAATATTTTTTTACATGGTTTCAAGTCGCTTATAAAACAACGTTTTTATTAAAAAATTATATTTTTAAATATTTTTTATCCTTATAATTTTTTAAGTTTTTTACTTTTTTGAATAACAACATAGGGTTTTAATTTAATATTCCGAAGCAGAATATTTTTCTTAGTATTTTAATACATGAAAATCGAATTTGGGTTGAGTAGTTTATGAGTTATAAGTATTTAAAGTTTAGACGAGCGGAGTGGAGTGGTTCGGGGTTACCCCGCGAAATGTTTGTCCACTTCACCGCTAGTCTAAACTTTAATTACTTATAACTCATAAACTACTCGCCCCAAATTCAATTTTCATGTATCAAAATACTAAGAAAAATATTCTACTTTAGAATATAAAATTAAAACCCTATGTTGTCATTCAAAAAAGTAAAAAACTTAAACAATTATAAGGATAAAAAATAATTAAAAATATAATTTTTTAATAAAAACGTTGTTTTATAAGCGACTTGAAACTATGTAAAAAAATATCTTCAAAAAAATTTACACTTTTTGAAATAATGAGTGTTGTTTGATAAAAGAATCACCCAGTATAATATAGTTTGACAGTGTTAACTAGGTATATTAAAAATCCATGAAAAGTGAATTTTGATATCATATTTCTACCTACCTTCTGAGTATAATTATACAAATCATTTATTGACTATTGTTACTTGTATGAATAACTTATTAAACAATTAATAGTTTTGATAACTTTGGTATCTACATATTTTATAAAACTGGAGTATTAATGTCTAATATTCTGAGTAGTGAAAGAAGCTATAAATCAAACTAAATTTATTGCATTATCCACAAAAAAGTGATTGTTTTGTCATTATTATTTTTCAAAAGATTGTTAATTTAATATTAATATAAAAGGGAAAGAAGATCATCACTAATTTAAAGCAAAATGTTATAATTGTTTAGTTTTATTTGTGTTGGAAATTTTAATAATACTCTATAATTGAAGATCATAATATATCTATAGCGATTTAATTCCTTTGTGTCTTGTGGCATAAAAGTAAAAATTTGTGTATCTTTTATAAAACATGCATGATTATTGAACCAAAAACATTTCGGTTTTATAAAAACTGTAAATAGAAATGCAGAAGAATGCAACCTTGTCAATAGATTTAATATTGAACAACATTGCAGATAACAATATACCAAGCACACAAATATCTTATACTATTTTAAAATAAGTATTTAATTAGAATTTGTCAAATAATTTTATCCGAATATTTCTTAATAACTATACAGCCAGTAGCATATTTAAGGTGAGTGATAAATAAACCTCCAGGGCTTTTTTCCTTTTATTTTTTATTCAATTTCAGTGTGTTTTTGTTCTATGTTCAGTGTTCACTTTCATACTCATTCAGACATTCTACTTCTTATCTCTCTGTTAGAATGGGAAGCTCGTCCCACTGTAATTTATATTTTTATCACTGAATTAGGTTAGTTTTATTATTTTCAATTCAGAAAAGACTAAGGGCCGATTTCACCAACACAGTTAATCACGGTTAAAGTTAATCGGCCGAATTGGCCAGTTAAATCCAATTAAGCATCAACCGTGATTAACTATGTTGGTGAAATCGGCTTTAAGTTGTTTGGCAAGTCTAAGCATCTATCGCATCTATGTAGAAAAAGTGTTTGATAACGTTTTTGGCTTTACATTTTTAATATTAGATTGATTTTTAATACAGTTCGTAATATTAGAATAATTCATAATGTTCTAATGCTCTATCTTGTCAAAAAGCATTATATTACTTTAAGTTTTTATATTTTTATTGGAATAGGTTGCTTAAGTATAATGTAAGTTTTGTATAAAATACACTGATCCATCAAAAAAATTATAAACAAATATTTTAATAAACTATTGTTTATACTCCTTTTAAAAAGAGAATATACCGCTTTCGCGCATGTTGAATGATTCGATTGGTGCGTAGCAAACCACGTGATCACGCTATCAATGGAAAATTGGTGGGGAATGCGCACCGCCTGACATAAATTGGTCGCTGACCGGTATATTCTCTTTTGTAAAGGAGTATAGGTATATGAGTATTAAAAACATGTGTAATTTCATTATATTTTGTTTTTGTACTTTGTTTCAATTAGGTTCAATGTATTAAGATAATTATGGTAAAAAGAGTTCGTAATACCAATTGGGACGCAGATCCAGAAATCGGTGAACATGAAGTCAGATATTCAGGTCAATATATTTAAGGAAATTAATTAAGGGTCTCAGTGCCAGTTTTTAAAATTTTCCACAATTCTATAAAATTTGAAAATTAAATTTTATATTTTAGATACCACCTCAATTCTCAATTTTAAGACTTTTCCACTAATTTACTACCTGATACCTATTTAGGGGGAGTTGATTTTGTGTATTATATCGAAAAAAATAACTTTACAGGAATAACTCTCAAGGTTTGTAGAATTGTCGAATTTTGATGACTATTTTTTTATCTGAAAGAAGAAGACTTTTTACAGCCCTCATCAATCTCTGATTTTGTATTTTATTTCAAATCATTGTATTTGTAAAAAAAAAATGTTTTTTATCTTGTATTTTTTTAAACATATTATAAAGTTTGAGAATAAAATATAGAAAAACAGAGATCGATGCGGGCTGTAGAATATTTCCTTCTAGCAATTAAAAAAAAATTATGAAATTTGGTTGATTTTACAAGGCGGTATTGTTATTCCTGCAAAGTGTATTATTGAGGACAAAATAGCATCGACACGAGGCGCCTTAAATACATTATTGATAATAATTACATAGGTAAATGTAATATAGTTTACTATATGTCAGGGGTGGCCATCTTTTATAGACTTGTAATTGACCTCTTGAGTTTTCCCAGGTTGTTACGATCGACAAAAAAGGTTGTCAATAAACAAAAATATACCTTAAATACATGAGTATTACACTTCTTTTATTAATTTTATTTAGAATATAAATAATGTTTAATTTCACAGTTTTACGCAACACATATTTTAATATATTGATTACAAATTATTATTTTTAACTTATTAGTATTATGTTTATTTAATGTTTATTTTCTGACAATCTAGCTTTTAAGTACACGTTGTATTGCAAATTGATCATCTCATCAAGAGATACTTCGTCCATTTGAAACAACTGTGCGGCTTTTTTTGCAGTCATCTGGGTATTTAAGTCCTCTTTAAATGGGAAACTGATGAATGAGATCACATCTTCAAATGTCTTAAAGTCATTAAACCTGACATCAAAATCATCAATAACGACCTTGATTCGTGAGATAAACAAAAAATACACAAAAATTATTTTATTTGTTTTCTAACAAAAATTCAAGAAATCGTGATCGACCTATTGGCCACCCCTGTGTTATGTGATATGTCTACATTATTATATCATAGGTACTAAAATAAAATAAATATTGTTATTCCTTAATCCTTACCTATTATTTTTATAAATACCCAATTGATATTTAAATGATAATAGGATTAGGTAAATAATTGGTTATAATTAGGACTATGAATTTAACACTCTAAGCAAGTATTAAATGTAATTATGTAATTAAAAAGGGGCAACCTATAGTTTTCATTAGATTTAAAAAGTAATAAGTTTTAAAAATATTAATTATGGTGATTTTCTACTCTTGAATTGCTTGCTATTACTTATATTGGCCATTCACAATAATGTTCCTGATTTATAATACCTACTTTTCAATCTATAATCAATAGAAAAGTGAATATTTTTAATAAAGATCTAAAATTGATTATTGCTTTTAAAAGAATAATATGGCGTCCCCCAAGGAAGCGACCTAGCGCCTTTCCTTTACACCATATTTGTACATGACACTCCGAAAACTTTACATACATCATTAGGCACATACGCCGACGATACAATAATCCTGGCCTCAAATGACAACCCTCAAACTGTGTCTGATAGGTTACAAAATCATCTAAACATGATCCAGATCTGGTCAAAAAAAATGGAAAATAAAAATAAATGACTCCAAATCCTCCTTTATTACCTTTTCACTAAGACCTGGAGACTGCCCTCCAGTTTCATTCAATAATAACTTAATTCCAACAACCCCTGTAGTCAAATACCTGGGCCTAACGTTTGATAAACGACTCACCTGGGCTCAACACCTCAAAAACAAAAGTAAATCTGTAAACTCTAGACTTCACTTGCTCCGTCCACTTCTCCGCTCCATACTAAACATCAGCAATAAATTGTTAATCTACAAAGCTATTTTAAGACCTGTATGGGCATACGGTATCCAGATATGGGGCTCCGCAAAACCCTCAAACCTACGAACTATACAAGCCTTCCAATCAATATATCTCCGTCAAATCGCTTTTGCCTCTTGGTATATAAAAAACGCCAATCTTCACAAAGACTTAAACGTTCCCACACTTTCTCAGCTAACCAAATCCCACTTCCTCTCATTCCATTCTAAGCTAAATCACCATTCTAATCCAATAATTAAACGTCTGTCTTCTTGTACAATTCCCGATAATCCTAGAAGAAGACTGAAACGATCTTGGCCTAGAGATTTCCTTGCTTGATCTGTCGGGTGGTACTACTGAGCACCTTCCCTCTCTGTAATATCAACGCTATTGTCCATCAAAAAATTACTTATTGTATAAAATGTTAAATGTTTGTATAGATTGTAATTATTCTTTTAATAAAAAAAAAAAAAAAAAAAAAAAGAATAATATACAAATAATTATTCAATTTCTTTTGTTATACTTGTACTAATAATTTGAAAATAAATAATAGCAAAATGTACTAGAAGTATAAAAAATAATTATGAACATTTATCATTAAATTTTTAATTTATGGGTTGGTTTAGGTTAGGCTATGTTTTACGGGACACCTTTTTTTTTGCAATTTTTCTTTTTGAAACTTATGTAATTAAGTGCACTGAAAACAATGGTGAAGTCATAATTTGGAGCTCGGGCATAGTTTCAAAGTTACGTCACTTCAAAGTTAGTATACAGGATGTAACAGAAAGAACTGACCAAAAAAAAAATTGATGCTACTTAAACGTATGACAAAAATTGATAAAATTGTATGATTAGTAAATAGTTTAAAAAATATACCCATGTTGGCAAATTTCTAAAAATATTATTTTTAAAAAAGTTATTGCGTTCCAAATAAATTTAATCAAAAAAATATTGATATTTCAAAAAATTCTAAAAAATAAACTACTTGACTTAGATAAATGTTTTTACCATCCAAATCGTTATTAAAATCAGATTCACAAATTGGCTATTTTGAATTTATTCAAAATAAAAAATTTAAAACTTTATTTTCAGTATTAAAAAATGAAAATACTTTTTTTTTATTACATGGTACCGCAAGTGGCTATAAATTATATGTTTAAAAAATATTTTTAAAATATTGATTCGAACAAGTTATTCAAAAAGTCAGTTCTATAACAGACACCCTGTATAAAGAGTAGGGAAAATTATAAGAGTGGATATATGTCGGTTATCCTGTGATTAACTTGAGGTGGTGTTGCATAGCAAGTCAAGGGATATTTCTGATTTTTTTGTCAGAGCACAGCTCAGCGAGCGAGTGGCAACGCTATCACTGACGTTCCCCCAATAAAGTGGTGTCCTGTAAAATAGAAAAGTTCCAGTTTTTGCTATTTGAGACATAATTAATTATGTAAAAGGTACCATAAGTAATTAAGTTATTAATTTAGTACAATTTTGATTTTTGATAAATATTTTTATTTTGTAGCATATGTTACCAAATCACCAAAAAGATCTAGATTATCACCTGAGAGAAGACCATTTTTGGCATATGGTATGAATATATTATTTATGATCAATTTTGCTTAACTTTTCACCATTCTACTATTTATTTTTTTCTTTTAATAGGGGAAGGACCAGATGTTGACTGTGAAATAGATGATGAATCTGATACACCTGATTATTTAAGTAAGAATACATTATAAAAATACAAATATATTATAGAAAAACTACTTATTTAATAAAACATTTTTTTAATAATTTAAAGGTTATAGTATAATACCAAAAGAGATTGAAGAAACATTAGCAAAAGGTAATTAAATGAACAAACTTCACAATAAATAATAAACGTAATTAAGTGAAATATATTTTTAAATACCTATCAAAATACTTTTTAATATTAACCAATTTTATGTGATTTTGATTATTATAGCTCCAAAAGAATTAAAAAAAACCAAAAAAAATCCAAATTTAGAATTATCTCTCGATCATGTGTAAGAATTATATTATTTAATATCTTTTATTTAAAGGCCATTAAGTATAAATAATAATTAATAATAATTATTATTTTTATTTTTATTTATGTGTAGTTATAAGGTAATACGTGAAATAAAACTACCAACATTTCAAAGGATTATAAAACAAAACAAGTATGAATTAATTCGGGTAGCAAAACGTAGTCCAGATCGGGTAAATTATCATTTATGTTTTTTGTATTTAAAATAAATCTGATTAAAATATGGAGCCCTACTAACTGGACCCTATATCAAACATTAGTCCATTCCAATCAGCATCCCGGTAGGTTAGGGTTAACAACTTGATTCGTAAATACTGTCACATTTATCCAGTCAACAAACTTATTAAAAGCAAATTATAAGTATTTCTTCCATGCTGTAATATTCTTCTTGATTTACAATGTGACCATACACATAAATTGATCAAGATACTAAGACTTAAAAACAACAAAGTAATTAGAAAGATAGTAGGACTGGATTTAAGGAAATGACAAACGCTTAATTTTTAAAGAGTTCAATATGCACAATACGTGCATACAAGCTATGCGATTGTTTGCGTAGTAAATAATCATTAGTGTGAGTGTATCACCTGTCATGATTCATAAACACAACCATATTGTCGTGGTTTTTTTTCTACTGGAAGTATGTACTTTTTGTTCATGCATCATGATACATTTATATTTTCAGATAAGATTTGAAAACATACGAGTTTTTCATTAATTTTACTTTGAACAACTTTCCTATTTTGTGAATTTCTTTTCTTTTTTTAAATGAAATCAGGGCCTAAAATACATCTGATTTCAGGGGACACACTTATTAATTTAACTGTTACTTTTGGGCTTTGACAGATTTCTATAGCAAAAAAAACCTGTGGGGTTTGAAACCCCAAAAATAACCCCCTCTTTTATATACCACTTACTCTGTACGTGAGTTAGTGAGGTAACTTTAATAAATATTTTAAATCACTAAAAGCAGTAAAAGCCTATACTAAGCCTTGTTTGTAGTAAATTGGGAAATATGTAAATATGTTTGTAGGTTACCATCATCAATTAGAAAATAATTAATGTAACTACTTACTTTATAAGAATATTAAGGTTTTTTAAAAAACAAATTTTAAAATATTAAATATTAATATAAAATATATATAATATTTTAAAAATATTAGAAAATAATATTGGGCTTGTTAGTTAAATAAACTGTTATAATAGTATATTATTATGTATGTAGAACCTCTTATAGTTATATTTATTAAACAAAGAAAAGTAACTAGGTAATTCTTCAAAGTCCAATGATTTATGATTATGATTATCTGTTATTTTTAAAAAATATTTTAACATATTTCAGACTTAAAATATATAAAAACACATATTTATAATATGTTATAGTATACCTAATTATATAATATTATGACAATATGCTATAGTTTACAATGATCTTACTAGTTAACTTTTCAGTACCTATAAGTTTCAGTAAACAATATTGTATTTCAATAGACATAACATACAATAATTTAAATATATTATGTACTTGTATGTTCAGTTGTTTAATATATTAAGGCAAGTACCTACTTACTTTGTATTGACCCATTATCATTTCTTCTTCTTTTTTATAACAAACTTGTCCATAGTATAGAAATAAAATAAGTAATTAGTTAAATTAGTTAACAGAATAGGTAACTATTAAATAAAAATATGAAATGATTAATGTTTGTTATTTCTACAAAACTAAAAAACACATCATAAAACTTGAGACACACATTTGTCAATCAGGGGAAACACTTTGATTTTCAGGGGTCATAAAGTGTGTCAGGGGACACAATATTTTAGCACCTGAATGAAATAATGGTTTAAATTTTCTGAAATTCTAATAACTTTTAAATTAGCTAATTAGAGAGATTAAATGTTAAAATTCTGAAAAAATGAAGATCCTAACACTAATAAATGTTGATTAGTTATGTTTAGTACTGTTTCAGAAACTGAGATACCTATGGGAATCTAAAAATCAACTGTTATGGATAAAAATTTACTTTGGTTTTTCTATTCCATATTGGAACTAATTATAATTATTCAAAGTGAACTCAATCTTTTTATTCATAATCCTATAATTCATTATCTAGCTCAATATAATTTTTATGTTTTTTAATGTTTATTTTTATTTTTAGCATCATTTGAATATTACTCAACTTTTGTTAAGAACAATATTTAATCCTGTTCAAAAGGTTTGGATATATTCACAAATAAAGGAAGTATTAAATATCTCTCCGCATGAATTCGCTGTGAGTAAATTTATATTAATATTATTAACCATTTGACTACTGAATTAAAATATGACTTCCCTGGCTCTACTGCATCAAATTCACTTTATTACCTAATGCTTATACTATACATTTTTTGATTGGAAATGTCCATTCTATATACTATAATTAAGAAGAAAGCATTAATGCATCAACAGTAGTCAAAAGGTTAATGAAATAATTTAATAATCACTAGTGTTATAATTTTTTATTTGTTTTGTTTAGAAAGTTAAATATGTATATACAGTACTAGCACCAGAAGTAGCACTAATGGTTTTGAAAAATAAATTTAAAAAATTTGCTAAAATATGTGATGAAAATCAATTGAATGCTTTCACTCTTTTAAATAGTACATTTTTTGATGACCTATATAAAAAAGATTTACATTGTCGTACCTAACAAAATTATAATGTATTATACATTTTTTGTACCTATTGTATGTTTTTTTTTTATAATCTAAGTAAATAGTATGTAGTAAATGGGGGTTTATTTATTTTTATAAAATTATTCCAATTTTTATTTTAAGTAGAAATAATACCTATTTGTTTTTATAAGAAGTGCTCGTAAAGCATATTTGACTAATTTAGTGTGAAGACTGAACATTGTGGAATAATTAGTTAATTTTAAGGACTAGTTATTATGTTGATGTCCTTGAAATATATTTATATTAATAAATGAGATTATTATATTTATATAAAATAATGTGATTTAATTTTAATTTTCTATTTCAATTTATTGTTCTCAGGTAAAAAATAGTTAATTTATTATTTTTTGTGATGTGTTCTTTCTACATTTCCAGCCATTAACAAACTATTAACAAACTACTAACTAACAAAAATTCTAAAATCCTCAACTATTCCAAAATATTTATTGAATGTAAACAATTATAGAATACCCTACTTTTTGGCATTTTATAATTTTATACCAATATATTTTATTTTATTTAAATAAAATATTAATTGTATTTTTAATTATGCCTTGGCAATTTATCAATTACCTAGATATTTTACAAAGTTTGAATTACTTATTAAGTATAATATAAAATACACTTGTGATTTCTATTTTTAACAATGCTTATATAGTATAATTATATCATACCTTTTATAAACTAAATCAATTACATTGGCTATGTATTTCATATGTTAATGTTGGTTGGTTGTTTTTTTTTTCAGCGTCAAGGTTTTAATAATTTTACCATGTTGTATTTTGTATTCTGTTTCAAGGAAAAAATTAAAGACTTATAATATATAATTTTTGTAACGTCAATTAATCAACAAAGTGATTTTTACTTCTCCTCCAAATTTACCCAATATTTGTGCTTTTATATTTTTGAATTTCATTATGAACTACTTATGAGGAACCTTGTATACAATTCTTAAACTTTAGCTATACAAATTGAAAATTACATACATTTTTGATTATGAAATTGTTGCGGTTTTGACATCATTAAACACTTGCACAATATATCTCACCAGCTCAAAACAAGTCAAAATATTTTGAAAATTGTACCGTATATTGAGAATGCTAATGTAAACAATCCTTGAAAATGTCATGTATCTACGGTAATTTGTTAGAGTTACACCAGAAACTAAAATCCCTACATGAGAAATCGAGTGAATATCCAATGTTGTATAAATTTGAACTTCAAAAGCTCACCAAAAACTAAAATCGATTTTGTGTAAAAACTCCCGTTTTCCTTATTTTTTCTTTTGTTTTTCGAAGGAAGTTTTTACTTTTAGCCCCCCAAAGTACCAAATACATTCATTCACTTTCCGAACAGAAAAGATACTGTTGAAGAAAATCTAAGCATTTTTATATTTTGCTGTCCTAAAAAGTAATGATTGGATGCAGAAAAAAACACATCATTGTAAAATCAATACATTCATCGCTCCGCTCAGAACCTAAAATTATAAAATAAGTAACAAATAACAATGTAACTAAAACAGTAAAACTACATTTTATAAAATTCAGTTATAATTAAAACATAGGTACTTGACTACTTCTTAAATTTATTTTGAGCGGAGCGATGAACTCAATTATTCGTTGTACAATGTGTTATTGTATTTTTTTTAAACGTATGGGAGCAGAAGGAATCCAAATCTTCAATGGTGTTTTATGGTCTATACCTTCCTAGAAAATTAAATCTAGTACAGTCTTAAGAGTTAAAGTTAGGTTAATAAAAAGAAAACTATCAATACTTTTATAAAAAAGCTTTTTGAATTTGTTTTTTGTTGTAAATTCAAATTTCAAAAGGAATAATTGTAGAGATTTGCACTAAATATTTACAGCTTTGAAATTTAATTTACAAATTGTCTTAACTCTGATGCATCTGACCTATTATTAATTTATACGTACAACTTTTTTTTATTTAAGTTCAAAATATATTAATGTAAATTATTGGTTGAGTTATTTCCTAGTACCTATCTATATAATATTTTTATATAGGTACCTACTACCTTAGCTCCTAAGGCAATTTCTTCAATCAACCAATTATTAACAACTTAAACCAATCGATCAAATCCGGTCGAAAAGATATGAACCGTAGGTATACACTAACTCAGTATAATAATTTATACTTATTTTGAAAATTTGAAACACGTTTATCAATTTACTAGTCAATAAGCATTGTTATTAATACGAAAAACACGTTCATAAATAATTTATTGAAATTGCATGTTTATTTTAATCACATAGGTAAATATATTATAATTATTATTGGCCTTGTAGGTACTAACAGTACCTATAAATACAATATTATTAAGAAAAACAGATATGAAAATGGACGTAACTATGTAAGTGTTGACTGAAGAGATTTATTTCGATTTTGGTTTCATCTTCACTAACATTTCCATCAACGTAGAAACGCGTTCTTTCAGCTAAGTAAAAAATAATAATATAAGTCGCTATGTCTAAAATCAAATTATTATACCCTCAGAGGTATAATTGTCGTTACTACTTACTGCTGGCGATTCCTTAAAAGCACATATAGCAAATTGTTCTGCGAGATCGCATTTCTCCGACCCTTTGACTTCATGAATAAAAACACGATGTATTTAAATTTTAGACATTTGATACAAAAATATTAGTTAATCATAATTATTTGTACCTAAGTAATAATACGGAAACTTACCATTTTGGCATTTGTCGTAAATAAGTTGCAATTGACTCTTAATGCTTGGATTATTGATTTTGTTCACGTATTCGAGGAACTTCGCAGGTTCTGGTTGCCCCGAAGCATTTATCTATTGGAGAAAAATTTAAATGTTATTCATAACGTATAGGTAACCACGAAATTGTTTACCTCAGTTGCAGTGATATCTTACCAATATTTTCAAAAGTTTCGTTCGGATGTTTAATTTTTACACTAGAGCACGTAAGAAGCTTTACTAAAGTCTAAAAGTATTTATTTATTTTTATTTGTTTCTTCATTTCGAAAATGGTTTGTACATCCCTAATATTATATAGGTATTAATTATACCTAATATTCAAAATTAAGTAATGACTATAATGAAAAACTATTAGATACAAATTTACCAAAAACCGTATTACCTCCCCCCAAAAGTAACTCGGGAGATAATCTGTATCCATAAAACTATAATACAATTTTAAACAACTTACCATTCCAAGTTCTTCCCCGGCACACGCCATGTGACACTATAAAAAAGTATAAAAAGTATAAATATATTGATACTTGGGTATTTATTTTTTAATTGTAATACGTACTGTGCATTGTTTATATTTAGCTTGAGTTATGTCGTATTTAGTTGTTATCATTTCACCGCACGTGCCTAAAATATGGATTATTATAATTAATATAGGTAGTAGAAATGTTGAATATCATCATAATTCATCATAACAATGAAATTAATTTATTCTACTGGAATCGGTTAAATTGCATAAAATATTGTTAGGATAGTGTTATAACTTATGATAATTAGGTACCCACTATAACAAATACCTATACAGAATACAGATAACCAATTTTTCATTACTATTACATAGGCAGCTGTAGCTGTGGCCCTTACATAAACCAAATCGTTGATAGGTACTGCGATGGGCTGAAAATCTGTTTTGCGAAAGACCTCTCTATTTCTTTTTTCTCGAAATTGTTACTTGTTTTGTTATTTGTTTGTTACGTCTTATATAGCCTCTCAGTAGGTACTCAGAACTAGGCACCGTATTATGTAGGTAATAACCTATACATATTTATGGAGCTGGTTAAATTTTAATTGTATTTAACATTGAAGTATATAAAGAATGGATTTATCAGAGGTTTATAAGTATGTACGTTGTATAACTATCTGAATATTTTAATGCGAATGAAAGGTAGACAGTTTGCTATATTATTAATATTTAATAACAGTAATATGTAATAAAAGTGAGGGAAACCCACAGGGAGAAGTCCAAGAGGACGTCCAAAGAAGCGTTGGATATATGGAATAAAGCAGGACTTAGATAAATTAGGGATGGATTGGGAAGAAAAAGTAAAAAATCGAGAAGAGTGGAAGGAGGTTGAAACCTCTTGAAGAGTTGTGATGTCAATGAAGAAGAAGCAGAAGAAGAATAATAATATATAATAACAAATATATATTCATGTAAGTATACCTTTCGTATACAGTTTGTATTATTTTATAAAGATATATTTAAAATGGATGGAATTTTAAATTATTTTGTTGATATCATTGTTTTGGTAGAATATTACGGTTGACAAATAACTATATTAATTTATAGGTTGTTACATCTTAATCGATAATTTGTAAATCATGTAATAAAATTACTAGGTAATTAATTATAAATTATAATTGCATAATACAAATATGTTATTTACCCCAATCGGCATCCTTAAAGCATTTAAAAACCACTGTGAATAATTTTGACATTAATTCCTTATCCGCTGTATCTGCAGCATCATCAGCAGCCTGAAGTAAACAAAAATAAAAATTAATAATCAGGCATGGATTCAAAAATATTTTAGGGCGCATATTATCAATAAACTTAAAACTAGGCATTTGTTTATTCCTATAATCCTAAGTTTTTAATCATTAATATTATTTTTTGGTACTTAGTGGGTATTAAAAACCAGGGAAGTCGCTTTATTGCATAGAGCAGTAGTTAGGTATAATATATTACATAAAATTACTAATTAGAATGTTTGAGTGTACCTAATAGAAGTGGTGTAGTTATGATTTTGTTCTAGGGAGGTGGGGATGTATAATTTGTTAGATAAACCTACCATATGGTTTTGTTTTTTTTTAATACACTACTATAAACAGTAAAATAAGTTATATTGAACATTTTAAATAAATTATTTAACAACATATTGTTTTAATACATAATGAAATATTATTAACAATTAATAAACACTGTTATTTTATAAAACAACATCTAATTGTTGAAGTTTTGTTGATAGTCTATCAATTATTTCTTCAGCGTCAAGGGTTAAGCTTTTATGTATAGCTAACACAGTCCCGATTGATACATTATAATTTATAACATAAAAAAAGCTCAGGAGACAGGAGGATCTATCCCCGTGATTTCCCCTCCTACATAACTAAGTCATTGGTTCCTCGTCATTGACTAGGTCATTGGATGTATTAAAATTTCTATGATAAATAATTATGTGTTCCTGTAATCTGTATATATTAACATACAAATGGAAAACTATTCTAAATGTTAGTTAACTTATACGTCTTCTAATAAAGTTTTAGGGATTAAAGTCTATAGGTATATACGTACCTAATATAATATTATTATAACTGTATAAGTAGGTAATATGATGGATTATAAATAATATAGATAGCTCCCTGGCCCGTATTAGATCACACATTGGCCCGTATTTACTGAAATAAGTAAATAACGACACTGCTAAACTGCTTCATAACGGCCACATTCATTTTTCGTCAATTTTTCGCGCCTCGTAAATACGGGCCAGTGAGCGATCTATAGTATTTATAATCAATGGTAATATGGTAGGTTATATGTTTTGTATTTTAATATATCTTGGCTGTTGTCCCGTAATTTTAAATTTCGAGCGGAGCGATGAATGTAAAGGTTTTACAATAATGTGTGTGTTTTTTTTATGTCTGTGTACATGATAGTCGATAAGTAGTCGAAATAATGCTTTAATTTTCCACTTAAGTAACTTGTTTGACGAGAAAGCGAATGTTGTTGCATCGTGGAGGTCAAAATTTAAAATTCCATGTATTTATACGGTCATTAGTTTTAGAGTTTCACCAAAAACCAAAATCGATTTTGCGTAAAAATTTCCGTTTTTTCTTAATTTTTATATTTTTTAAAACTATTGGGAATTTCAATTTTGACCTACCGAAACACCAACTAGATTCACTTTCCCATCGGACAATATACTGTTGAAAAAAATCGAAGCAGTTTTACTGCCCCAAACGGTGTTGAAGTCCTAAACCTAACCTTTTAAGCCCTAATAATTATTTACCGAGTTTGGTGGATATTGTTTTTGTTGGGATATTTTATTACAGTAGGTATGTGCAAACTTTTTTATAAAATAATACGTTATTACCATAGATGGTCTAACCCAATAACTATTATAATAATGTTTTATGTACATTAATATATTATATCATACCTACCTATTAATATAGTAATATACCTAACCTTTATATTACATTCTTAAATGTATAGCCGTATAGGTATATTATCTATGTTGGTAAATGTAGAGTTTTAAAATTATGAAAATAATAAACTAAAATTAAATTTATTACTTTAAATAGTAGCAGGCTAATTTTTTAAAGGTGATATAATCGTAATATAGACACAGTATATTAAACTATTGAAGTGTACATTATTTAGATATGCGTGTAAAAGGAAAAAAAACATGACTAGGTATTAGCATTGATTATAAATACTAGTATTTATAATATAATAGAAAAATATACTCTAATGTATAGTACTTGCCTTATTGATTGAGAACAAACAACCGAAAAGAACAAAAACTGATACCAACAATGTCTTTTTGATTATCATGTTGAGTTCGGTTATAATAAATCTGGTACACCAAACAAATAAATTTATAGTGTTATAATAAAATTTTGATTGTACTAGGATTTGAGTTATATAAATTTGATACTTTTTAGATACTGATTATTACGAAAAACTAAGCGCTGTGTCTTATATACCTTTACGACGTCTATTTTTACACATTTTTTCTATGTTACCTAATCTATTTAGACCTTGTAATTTTAACATCCTGTAATTATATGGTAAAATGTATGTTACTACGGTAAAAAATATAATTTAAAGCAAAAATGATAAAATGCATTATTGTGCTTAAATTATATTATTTTTATTTATCTACTTTAAAAATCTCTATTTCAATCCCGAGGTCGTGCAAAATTTGTTTAACAATGGTTCGAATAATTTTTCAGAGTTCATAATACCTAGCTTCAGATTCTAGTTCTGAAAATAATAATGAAAAAAAATTTTAAATATCTATACTTTTTCAACGTTAATCTCGATAGTAATAATTGTATTATATTGAGTAATGACTATATTATTATTATTATTATTATTGTTATGTTTGGCCTTTTATGGCATATATTATATAGTTCCTTATTTTGTTTATGCGGAACAGATATAACAATATAAATATTATACATGATATCATATTATTATCATATATCAATATCATACATCTCATCATACCTTGAGACTAATATACATTTTACAGTAAAAATTTAAAAAAATTTCATTTTATATTATATTATTTATTTATTTTAACAGGTCAAGCCCAATATACTAAACACATAGATATAGGTGCCACGGAGATTTTTGAACTTCAACTGTTATAAAAAAAATGCTAAAGTTGACGTATTAATTAATAATTTAAGGTACACGAAAAAAACTATAATTGTTATAAAAGAAAAAACAACTGAAAATATTATAAATGAGTATTACAATTAGGTAGAGGTACATATACGAAGATAACGATGAGTTGGAATATTAATTATTATTCAATGCTTTAAGTCACAATAAGTCACAATAAGTCATAACTTGTAAGATTTTATTCCTCTATTTGAAATGCAACACATTTGAGACTGAGTGGAGCGATGTATGTATTGATTTTACTATGATGTGTGTTTTTTTTATGTGACCGTCATCACCTTTTAGGGCAGTAAAAATGAGTAATAAGGGAATCTAGTTGGTGTATTCGGAGGTAAAATTCCAAATAGTTTTCAAAAGAGCTTGGAAAAACAAGAAAAATGTGGTAATGTGTGTGTCGCTCTGCTGTACAGAAGGTTTCAATTGGGTCACTGTAATGGATGGTGTTAAAATTTGAATTCAATGATATAATATCATTGTACCTATACGAAAAACGATTCTGAACGAAAATAGTCAGTTAGCCTATGATATTACTAAGTATATTTGATGATATTATTGTGAATAAAGTAATTTATATAACTTATTTACGTGAAAGGTTGATTTAAATTTTCAATCCTTAGCTATAAAAGTTGAATATTTTATAGATTTTTATAACTACAAAATCATTTTTAAATTTTGTCAAAATTCTAACTTTTAATGCTTATAAAAAAAATGTGTGCCTATGTATTTTTTATATTTTACAATTCATATTGTAACAATATACCAGTAGCCTTGTTTTAAATGTTTATGCTTTTTGACCCAACAAATAAAATTTAATTGACATTCATAGAAATAAAAACTAAAAAAATTGGAAACTTGAAATGTCCGTAAACAGTTTAAAACAAATCAAAATATTTTTAAAATGTTATCGTGTACCTATATTAAATGCTAATATAAACAACCATATGTCCGTAAACAGCTCAAAATGTTTTGATAATTGTATATGGTGTATTTAAAATGCTAATGTAAACAATCACTGAAAATTTCATGTATCTACTGTCGTTTGTTTTGGAGTTACACCAAAAACCAAAATCGCAACATGAAAAATCAACTCAATATCCAATGTTGTAAAAATTTGAATTTCAAACGCTCATAAAAATTTAATTTGACTTTCTTATGGACATTTTTTTTTTGATAAAGGTAGATAATCATATAAGGAATTTTAAATTTTTTAAATTTTAAATTCTTAGATTTAAAAAAAAAAAAATTCTCTTGTACCGATTTCCTTATTTTGTCGTAATTCAAAAACGAATAACTATAGATACATGAAAATTTCACTAAATGTTTATATTAGCAGTTCCTATACACTATACAATTTTGAAAATATTTTGACTCTTTTTTTGAGCTATTTACGGACATTTACCGCTTTCAATTTTTTTTAGTTTTTTTTTCTATAAATATCAATAAAGTTTTATCTGTTGGGCCAAGAGTGTAAAAATTTAATACAAGGCTCCTGATATATTGTTACAATAGCAGTTGAAAATATTAAAAATACATAAGCACAATTTATTTTTATAGTTATTTTAAGTTCAAATTTGGACGAATTTACTTACATAATATAAAAAACCTAGAATAACTATTTTGTAGTTAAAAATTTATAAAATGTTCAACTTTTATATATAAGGATAGAAAGTTTATAATAAGATTCCACGTAAGTAGTTAATTCTGTTATCAAAAAATCTAAAAAATACATAAGCACAGTAATTTTAAGTTCAAATTTGGACGAAATTACAAAAAAAAAACCTAGAATAACTATTTTAGTTATTTAGTTGTGATTGTATAATATTATTTGTTGGTACTTGAAACTTCTAAAGTACACTATTATATATCTATGATAGTATCAGGGTTTGTTGTTGATGTATAACGTGTTATAAGTACCTAATGGATATTATGATATGATCAATTTGGAACAGTGGCGTATTTAGGAATTTGTCATGGGGAGGGTCCAGAACTCCAGAACACAGAGCCACGGGGGACGAAGCCCCCCACACCACCCATTTACTCTTTATTAAATAAAATATACCATATTTATAAGACGATATAAAATTGTCGAGTTTTTAATTATTAAATAATAATATGTACAAAACAAATTTAAAAAAAAAGCGGGTGAGTGGATGTCACTCTGCTGCTGTACAGTAGGTTACAAGTGGGTCAATGTATAATGGATTGTATTAAACTTGAACTCAATGATATAATATAATATCATTGTATAAGAAAAACGATTCTGAGCAAAGACGGTTTGTCAGTCTGGATATTTTATATTGTTATTATTTATTATAGCCTGTTAGTTGAATTAATAATGAAATACTTTTATTTTTTATTTTTTTCTATGGTAATAGACAAAGTGTTAGAAATTAAAATCCCATTTTTAGAGGTTTTTCGTAATTTTTTGGTGGTTTTTACAGTGGCATTAAATAACTATTGAGAAAATCAAAAAATGACCTCTCTAAGATAGTAATCTTGATCCAATTTTCTAAAAGATAAGTTACTACATGTCTATACATGTTGAAATCGAAGCACTCCTTCTGGAAGAAATTTTGTATACAGGAAAAAAAAATAAACACCATTGTAGAACCAATAGATCCCTCAGAATCGAATATATAGTTATATGTTATAACTTTTATACAAATATTTCCTTAATTACATTAGGTACCTACTTCATTCATAGTTGATCTTAGATAACTTTTCAACCTTAAAAAGTTTGAAAAAGATCTCTCTGGAGTGGTTGTAGATACTGGCAATGTACAAAACTACAAAATATTTGAATTAAAGAATGATGAATTTGGTATTTTTCAACCATTTCCGGTACCCAACTGATAAAAATAATCACGATATTTATTGAAAATGTTGATACTCGTATAACTATAGCTTCGAAAATTTTTTATACAATCCGTAAAATCGTATGATAAAATTTGTTTTTTAATCATGTAAAAACTGCTCAACATTTAACATGTACGAGACACGAGTCAATGGGAGGGGTCCGGACCCCATGGACCCCCCCCCCCGTAAATACGCCACTGATTTGGAATTTATTATAGGTACCTATTGGCTATTATAGATCAATTTTTTTTAATGCTTTAGATAAGTATATAATATGTCTTATACCTAGACTGACATATCGTCTCCACTCAGAATCGTTTTTCTTATACAATGATAGGTATTATATCATTGAATTCAAATTTAATACCATCCAGTTAGCAGAGCACCTTTTGTTATCCTGTATGTATAAAATTTCTACCAGAAGGATTACTTCGATTTCAACATATAATAGTACCTTATATTTTATAAAATTGGATCAAGATGGTACTTTAGAGAGGTCATTTTTCGATTTTCCCAATATTTATTTAATGGCATGGGAAAAACTACCGACAAATTACGAAAAACCTCTAAAAATGGGTTTTTAATTTCTAACGCATTGTTTATCACCAACAAATAAAAAATTATAATAATAATATAAAAAATCCAGACTTACAAACCGTCTCCGCTCAGAATATTTTTTCTTATACAATGATATTAATATTCAATTCAAGTTTAATACAATCCATCATACTCTGACCCACTAGTAACCTCCTGTACAGCAGAGCGACATCCACTTACCTGCTTTTTTGTGTTTGTGTATTGTTTATACGATAAGTAGTCGAAATAATGCTTCGATTTTCAACTTCAGTATCTTGTTCGATGCAGGGAAAGTGAATCTTAAGTTGCAGGTACTTGGTGCATTGGGGTGATCAAATTTCCCAGTAATTTAGATACAAAAATGAAAAAATACATGCAATTTTTACAGGTTGTTTATATTAGCATTACCTACACAATAACATTTTCAAAATATTTTGATTTGTTTTGGACTGTTTACGGACATTATAATAACAAAAATATGATATTGCAAATTATTTTTTGAACTATGTTACGATTAGAGCATTTGAACGAGATAAGAGAAAGGAAGAAAAAAGATAACTTTTTTTTTTCTTATAATACTATGTTATGTACCAGTTTTTCAATTTTAGCAATTTCCTGTTATGCCTTAGGAGTTAAAAACACAAAAATATGTTGTACAATATAATAAATAAAAATCTGATTTGGGCCATATATTAACTTTTTGAAACGCTGATGAATTACAACTTTTTTTAAGTAGTACATAAGGTACTTTTTACGTATTTACATATTCATTAATTATTAATATTATATTGTAATTTCTGTACATATTAATATACGATTTTTGACTTTTGTTATACGTAATTCGTTAGGTATGTAACTTTAGACCGTTCTAGAAAAAATAAATTTTGAAGGTATAACATTTTTTTTAAGTCATAGTTGTTTGGAAAAAAGAGGAAAATTCTAATCCAGTCAATACCTATTAGGAGTCCTATTTAAGAGAACATTTTTTTTACTGTACATAAGCCCATATACGTAAATAAAAATTTTTAAATATTAATCTTGTAAAAATACAATTTTTTATTTCATTATGTACCATTGTACCTATACTTATCAAAAACATCTATTCAATGGAATATCGCAAAAAAAAAAAATGCAGGGTCATTCAGACGAAATAATTCATGTTATTTTATAATTTTATCATACTGTATAGGATTATCATGATTCATGATGGCCACTGATATTTGTATTTTTGTATTTATTATTTATTAATCTCATTGTTTGTGCATGATTCAGTTAGACAGTTAATGATAGTTAATAGAGTCTTGTATGGGCCATTTTTTTTTTTTTGGGCCCGAAATGGCCCGGAACTTTAATTAAAAATGTTCCCTGATGCTTTTGAAAATTAGGTACTGACCAACCAATAATATTATCCCACCAGAAAAGTTATTGAAGTTGAAAATAAGACTATACAATACTATTGCTATGTTTAATAATATAATTGACAACACTTAACATACCTAACTAAGTTTTTTTTAAATAAATAAATTGGATTATTTTTCCCGTGACTTTTTTCTTGGCTTTTTTCCTGTGGTTTTTTTCCTACATTCAAATTTAGCATTAAACATTATATTATTTTATCTATATTCTGTAAATAAATAATAATAATATGTTTTTTGTATGATTATTCAACTAACTTGTTAAATATTTACTATCTCTGTGTTTCTATAATTTTTAAAAGCACATAATAAATTATAAATTGTAAATAACTATAATCACAACTAGTAGGTTATGATACTGATTATAATAAATCAATGTGTTTCTAAGTCACACACTTCATCATTTTTTTACGTATTCGTCTTATTTTATGATTTTGATTTAATACGAGACATACACATATAGATAATAAACTGCAGCAGTTAATTCTCTAATCAGCTCTAATTGGTTAAAACAATTTAAATATATTTTATGTGATACATATAATAATTAATAGATAGTGCAAAGTATATTTATTCTTTTATATAGTGAAAAATATGATAAAGGTATTATACATTGTAATAATATATATTTAATTATTCGATCCAAGTCGACTAACGGTCATCATTACCCGCCTATAATTACCATAATACGGTGGCATGATATATTATTGAGTGCAGATGTCGAATGAAGTGGCGGTACTTAATAATTACCATACTTGTCCCGCACGATATATCAGACGTGATAATAATACTGTCTTTTTATTTACAAAAAAATCCGACAATTTTTTCCGACTGGTTTTTCCGGACGTTCAACTTTTCGGCCAGACGATCCGTTCGATCCATGGTACGTAATTGGACACTCTGGTGTACACGCCTGGCGTGTCCCTATTGCCGCAATATTTCCCGAACGACGTTATACCGATTTGACTAGACATACACGAGTAGTTGGGGTGGTGTACTTGTAGTGGGCCTCCAGAATCGCCCTGTAGTGAAAAATGCACATGATATATATATATTCATTGCCAGATCTAGAGGGGGGTGGGGTCAAGTGGGTAACCTTGCCCCGGGCAATTTTTTTTTTTGAACCCTCGAGTTGATATTATAAAAAAGGTCATTGGGTACTTGTTTTTGAAATTTTAGGGTTGTAATCGAGCAAACATTGAGCTTTGAGTGAAAAACACAAACAATTACCGATAACTCTCATTATACAATTAGAACGTATAAACACATTTGGTTTATAATCTATTATAGGGTGACCATATATCCTGTTTTACACAGGATTGTCCTTTATTTCAGCTTTGTGTCCTGTTGTCCTGACAAACTTCTCTCAGGATGCTTTTTGTCCCGTAATTTCATGTCTGTCTCATATTAATCCGGTTTTTTGTCTTAATGTTATTGTATATAATTTTTGAAATTTTTAAAATGACATTATTGAATAGAATAATATAAAAATCTATACTTTCAATTGTATTTTTGGATTTTTGTTTTTACCATTATTATTGTTGCATCACATTGTTGTCAGCGATGTAAACCGGACGTATAATAGTATATGTACGGACCTGCGCAACCAGTTCGTAATCAAATGTGAGCATATTGCGAAATAAATAAATATTAATAACAGCCTAATAATTTATCTATGTCGTTCACAAACGTTATCTTATTAGACAACAAAAAAATATAATAAATTCTTATTAATTTAAAAATATTCTATATTAAATTATTGAAATATAACAATATGATAATATTTTTGTCCTGTGTTTTATTTTTTTAAATATGGTCACCCTAATCTATTATAACTGGACAATTCGACAAACATTAATTCATTGGTCATTTTACTGTTAGATTTTTGTCGATCGTACTGAATAATATTATCCAAAAGATCTTGTTGGGAAATTTTATAATGTTAATATACTTTATATTTTTATAAGAATATACTTTCGAGTAATTAGTTCAAGTATAATATTGACGCACTAAACTATATATATATAATAATATATATTCTGTACATATTTTTTAATTCTGGTGCGGGACATGAAATTAGACTATTGGATTATCAATATTCTGCTAATAGAATTCTAAAATATGTATTTAGTACTGAATAATGTAAGAAATTGATAGAGTGTACCGAATTTTTGTGGTGAACATGTGGTATATAGTATGAAAACCATGGTTTCAATAAAAAATTTTGCAGTATAAAAATATACGTTTTGATTTGTATTTAAATATTTTTTGTTGACACCCCATACCTCCACCTACGTAAGGGAGCTACATTTTTATTAGCCCTGGGCGTCAAATTTCCTAGATCCGGCAATGTATATTATATGATAAATGTATAACTTATACATAAGTATAGCCAGTCCCTAAAATATCCAAATTTTCGTACTACACACATAGTGCCAAATCGGTCAAATCTAAATTATTTCTAGATAAACACTAGTATACTATGTACCACCGTTGACTACTAAGCTGATAATAATAAAAATATAGTCTCAATAAAAATGAATAATAATAACTATAGTAAAAGTATAAGACGTAACGACACAAAATATTGTTTACTGTGTGTCTGTGTAGAAGATAATAATTAAAATGTGGTTTGGCAAAAAACCCTTGAATTATAAAAAAAATGTGAAGATATAAAATTATACATATAATATTATTATGAGGGTTTAATAAGAACAACACACTTTTAAATTTCGTACTACACACTGCACTTTTCGTACTACACACACAATTTTAGGGACTGAGTATAATAGGAAAACCTCGAGTCAGTCGTCCACCGATTATTGTTATATCGTTTGCTCACCGTACACGTGTCGCTTCCGTTTCTGATGTCGCCCGCACATATCATGCTGTCTTCCATTATCCCGAAGTTTATTCTCGGATTGGAACTCTGAGGATAACTATACTTACAATGATCGATCGATATCGGAGACAGGTCCACTTTCAACAGGTCGGGACTGATCGGACCATCTGCACATACGACACATATAGCGATTGAAAGCTCCGCGTTATTATATTACCTTTTTTTTTTTTTTTTATTAAATGTCGTTTATTTGTGAGAATTTACAATCTATACAAAAATGGTACAATAAGTAAATGTGATAATAATTACAAGTGGCAATGAGTGAAGTACAATGAGTAGAAGTTTCACATTAGACCCCATTATATTACCTATAGACTAACATTTTTGGGCGGTCCCGGAAAACTCTCCTTCAGATCCGACCCTGCAGCAGGCATTTTGGCACTTTCGCCACAGAATACTCGGAAGTGAGCGTCATAAGTCTAGAGGCGGCTTTGTCAAATATTAATTAAACATGATAATATATACCTTGTTACACCCTTACACATACAGTAGTAGATATCGACCTATATAGTCATCTAGAAATTATACGTCTATTTTCGGGAAATTTTTCACGAGTAGCACTGTAGTAGGTTTGAAAAACATAATAATCGTAGACAATAGACATTATACTAGACCTATTATAACTAAAACCTGCAGTATGGTATACAGCTAGGGTGTACAGTTAGAACTGACTTTTGGAATAACTTTTGTTCTAATCAATATTCTTAATTTTTTTTTTTATATATTTAATTTATAGTTTCTTGCGTTACACGTGTATTATACAACAAATTATTTTTATTTTTTAACACTGAAAATAAAAAATTTAAAATTTGATTTAATTTTTTTTTTGTATATAGTAAATACATTTATCCAAATCAAGTAGTTTATTTTTTAGAATTTTTTAAAATATCAATATTTTTTTTGATCTAATGAATTTTTAACGTAATATCTTTTTTCAAAATATTTTTTTTTGGGAATTTGATGACATGAGTATACTTCTTAAATTATTTATTAGTCATATAGTTTTAACAATAATTTTTGTTATACGTTTAAGTACAGCATCACTTTTTTTTCCTCAAGTCTTTCTGTTACTGCACCTTGTATACCTACTGCTATGTCTAATTATTTAAACGGTGATGGATTACATATTATATTTTTTTTTTTTTTTTGGCGTTAATACTATCGAACCGCACCCCGAAAAATCTGAAATCCCAGTCCACCACGCTTGTCAAACGATACGCACCTACGTAGTGTAAAAATTAATACTCACTGGTCGAGGTCCGACCCCAGCCGGTGGCCGTGGCCACCTTGAAGCTTAGCTTCTGGACCGTGTTTAGGCACACGGGTCGCACGTGCGCCGAAAACTTGACTTCCTCCTCTAGACGGAACAGCGCTATGTCATTGTACACGTAAGTCGAATTGTAGTTGGGGTGCACCACGCGCTCCACGATTTTGTAGTCGACAGGTCTGGCGTCGTCGGGTTCCGAATAGATGTTCAAATCGCCCAGGCGTGCCCAGCTCACCGTACGTCTTCGCGGAGGGACGTTTTGAAAAATGTTTGTACTTAAAATCCTTAGGTCTCGCGTATAGATTGTACACGGTAGGTACTCACCCAGAATTTACGGTGCAGTGAGCCGCGCTCAGGATCCACTTGTTGCTTATCAAAGAACCTCCGCAGCCCCACAACTTCTGTTCGTCCGCGATGTCCCCGTAACCTAATAGCGCCTGCGGGAGGCAAAGTTTCAATATTGGTCAATTTTTGTCTATATTTTTTCCAAGTTTCTAATACCTACGGCACAATATAATTATCGGGAGATTGTAAACTCGGCTCAAGGAAAAAAAATCTTCAAAACGTCAATTGTAACTCGGCCTGTGTTTTTTCAGGTAAAAATTATTTAGGTGTAAACTCGGCCAGTGGCGTCATTTTAGTTTTTATTAGACCATGGCAACTTTCCACTGTTTTTCCGACTCACAATTTTTTTCACTCAGATTTTCATAGCATTGTGCCATAGTGGTTAATGAGGGGGGGAGGGGTGGTGTTGCTAAATGTGTCGATAAGTAAAACTGTAGTGTAATAATTAACAATGTATGGTTTTATAAATCTATTTTTTTAAGTGAAAAGCCATATGTGTATGACGTATTCACTCACCGATACTTAACATTCGTTAACAACGAATTTTTCGGATAATATATGGAATTTAGATATATTATTTGAAGATTAAATTATAATATCGTGCTTATTATATTTTATTTGTCAAAATAATTATCGGGCCGACCTTTTTTTATTATTTTAAATTTCTGGGCCGAGTTTACAACAAAAAAAGGTAACCGCGGGCCCGCTTTACATTTGCCCATAATTATCATACCATGTGCGGAAATTCCTTCGGCTTGGCCTTCGTGCCCCCGACGATCAATGTCAACACGTTGTAGCAGTTAAGAGTTTTCGACGGCTGTCCCCCTCCAGACGAGGGTTGTCGTACGTTTGTGTACACCAGCTCCGAGTACTGACGACACACTGCACAGCGGTCACGAGAACGGATTATTATAATTTATATGAAAAGCTGTTGAAATAGGAATTTTGTGCGATACCGATACGTACTTTCAGTGGCAGAGTATGCTGATGTAGCATTGGAGGTGCTCAAAGCCGGCTTGAAATTTGTGATGTTGGTTGTTACTGTTGGTGAACAGCAGACTATTGGCTTGTTTTTAGAAAACGAACATACCTGCGGAAAATTCTGACTTCGAATTTGCTGTTCTAACGACGAACAATTTTCTGGTTGTTTGCAGACATGGTTTTTAGAACTGCCCCTTCCTGCCTGACATACGTCACCTATGTAATATAAACGCATAAGCAATTTTATATTAACTAGGTAAGTATCCATTATAGGTACCTTATAATTGGTACATTTAAAAAAATTGATTTTCTGCAATTCAGATTTATAAAATATGTTGACGTTAAAACTTAAATTTATACAAAAGTAACGAGTAGGGTCAAATGTCATGATTACAAAAAATATAATTACAAAGTTGAATATTAAAGATGATTGACAGTGATTAAGAGCGTCGGGGCAGGGTGCAGCGTTTTTAGAACAAAAACATGTCTTGCAAGGAAAAACTCTCTAGCCCTGTAGAATTTTTTTTTTACTTAAAAGAAGAGTACATTTTACAGGTCGGATCAGAGCCCGATTTTGAAAATTATAACTATAGATAGGTACTGTGTGTCTGTGTTGTACCTACCTATCTGTTTAAAGTTAATAACTTATTTAAATATAAACATTTTAAACTCACCTTCGTACAAATTAAGTATGTTTGCTTTATGTCCAGAAATTAATAGACATACTATTAAAGCCAATAAGATTTTAAAGTATAAGCTAAATTTAATTTTAAAATACATATTTTTGTAATGTCGTTGTTATTGTAACGAACTGATGTGGCTATGATAATACGAATAAGCAAAACATTTGACTTGTTTATCCCACCACATTCTAAGTATTTAAAAGGATATTTATATGTATATTATGTTTACATATATTATATATATATGACAGTATCAAGGTTAAAAATTGAAAATAACATTAAGCACTTTATTCAAACCAAACAGGTTATTGATTTTAAGACAAAATAAAATACACCTCACTTCAGAATAAAATAAAATAATTAATCTATAGGTAGTGTAATGTGATATTGTGATACAAGCTCTTATTAATACTACACATATAATAAGTAGGTACATAAGAAATGGGAAAATGTAAGACCTAAAAGTTCCAAAAATATCCCCACCACTCAAAAGAGGTAAGTACCTCTCAATATTCACATATGGCGTTATCAAGTTTGAATTTAAAACGAATGAAAAGTTTCTTCTTACTAGTACCTAATAAAATATATAACTGACAAAAAAAGTTACTAAGAGTTAGTATTTTCACGGCATTTAGAACGAAGAATTCATATTGAATTCGAATCCCTTGCAACGCGCATTTGAAAATTATGATTTGTTATTATTATTAGAATTATAGAAATGCAGAAATAAAACATTATACTTTAGATTCTATTTTCATATAGGTACTTGTGCAAAATGCAGTTATACCTATATGCATCAACGATATTTTATTTGCAAACTGGAGTTCAATGCTTTATGTATTTTTATAATAATATGAAAATAACACGCATTTAAAAATTAATATGATCACTGCAGACGTGTGAGTAGAAAACAGGTTTAAAAAAAAATTAACATTAAATACTCATTATTTTATTGCTGGGGTTTTTCAAACAAAAATTTCATTTATCTCATATATATTTACTAGAGGGAGAATTTAAGTAGGTAGACATCTATGTCTGCATTCAAGGGCTGATCTATAGACTGCAGCTTTCCTCAATAATGAGTTAATAATCACATTAGAGTATTTTTTTAATATTTCAATATTTTTCGATTTCTATAAATGCCATTAACTTTTAATATATCGGACATTGCTGTATCCACTCAATATCTGTAACTCAAATTTAGGACTATAGTTAAGTTTATTATATTGTGTTCAAAATTAGTTTTTAGTTTTTACAGCCTTTTTCCGCGGGACCAGCTTATAAGTTATAACTATGAGTTTAAACACGTTACTCATTGGTTAAAATTGCAGGGGGGGAATGACTTCGCCTTCTAAGTATTTCAAGTCCCATTTAAAATAATTCAATGATTTGAACAGTTTTATCAATGCATATTGTTCACAGTACCTAAAGACGTAAAGTAGGACAGAATACTTTCTTGGTAAACGTTTTTTTGACTGAAATATGTATATAATACTATAGTTTTCAACTCTCACCAGACACCAACATTTTATATTCTTACACAAAGTATTAATGGCCTAAAATGCTAAGTTCAAAAAGTTCCAGGGGTGGACACGATGATAATTTTTTTCTTTAGTTAGTCTTAAAAGTGAATATTATTATATATTATAAAAAGTACAAATTACCATACTTAATAGAATTTTAAGGCAAGAACACTACATTATAATATGGGCCCCACGCCCACATGGACCTGAGGTCTCCCCCTAGCCGGATCTTAACCTGGAACCGTGTGTGACCCTATCAATACTATAAATGTATATAATATAATATATTTAGTACCTATTTATTGTATATTTTATTTCAAGTTAAAAGCTGGCACTAGTCACGGGTCAGTCATCACTGATTTAAAAGCTAAGTAGAAAAAACAACCGGCTATCTCCATGATATAGCACAATAATACAGATTAATAATAAAAAAAAAAAACAAAATATTTTTTCGATGACAAAGAAATTTTTTTACCATAAATATGTATGTATTTTAATATCTTGACCCCCCCACCCTACATTATTGTACCTGATATCCGACTCTGTCCATGTCCTCAGGGTATAATGTATTAATATGTGTATACAGTATCCATCTTTAACAAACAATAGCTTCCGAAATAAGTTTATTAACATTCTTGAACCACGGTTAGGTTGTATAAGTGCTTATACTCATTTATACCTAATTAGTTTTACTAAAATTTTCAACAATGTTTTATTTTTCTTTGTAAATATTACTTAGCTTAAAACTTTAATATTGTACTTAACTCAATCTTATCTATCTAAAGGGGAGTTACAAACATATTATTTATTATATATTTTAATATTTATAGTATTACCTATTCTATGTGATTATTTGTTTAGCTAAATCAATTTTATATTATTATTATAGTCTATGCGTAATTTTTGTCGATCGTTAGTATATTGCAATGGATGTCCGTAACAATACTTTAAGGACGAATTATTTTGTTAGTCACAGCACAGTGAACATAATATGAAAACAAAATTTAACCGGAAACCTAAAATCGTATTCATCTGGTCATAGGTTTATAAAATATAATATTTAAATTTTAAATATGAAGAAGAAATATCTCACGAAATTATTGAACTATTCCAAGTTCTAACTGCGGATAACAGATAAACGATGACAGGTAGGTAAAAATAATTTTCAATACAGACCTGTCAATGGGCACCACCTAAGACAATTTCGTATCAGAAATCACCCTTGTCCCTTAGAATTGAATCATTTTTTTTACTATAAAACTTATACGCGTAATTGTAAAAATCAATACATCCATTGTTTCACTGGAAATCTAAAACACTTCACCTGAAAGTATAAAACGAGCACTGCAGGTCTGCTCAGTATATAATACGAAACACAAATCCTTGTTCAAATATTATTATATTATTATATTATTATAACTACGTCGTATATTATATCAATGATAATGGTCTTGGAAAAATAAACGTGTCCGAAATCCTAAGGATTGTTGATTAGAACGTTGCGAAAGTACTCATCGCTGGCATGTAATAAACGTCATTGTCGTCTGGGAAATGTTTGAATTTTTCGAGTAAACTGAAAGTAACACTTTGAGTTCATTTGCAATTAAACGTCTGACGTGAAAACACCAAAAAGCAAAATGGCCACGACCAGTGACTTCGCTCAAGAAATCGCCATGATACATGTTGTTGAATGCGTTGATACATGGGTTATGCCAATGGACGATGAAGAACAGCCAACACTAGAAGTTAAAGACTTAGAACCAAAACTAGATGACCACGAGAACGAAAACGCTATACTAGGCGACATTTTTTGGCTATTTGATGAACATGATACGGTTGATGCCGAATGCACGGAATTGTGTCTGCTTTTTCATGCTGAACCTGCACTTCGTCTCCACAATTTTAGCACCCCTTGTTTTTTTAGGTCTAAATATCATAATTATAGTGAAATACCATCAATTTTATGTTTTTAAAATATGAAATATTATAGCACCTCCGTTTTAGAGAGCTATGTATGCGACTACATTATAAACTACATGTATAACTATAAACACATAATGAGCAAATCCTTCTACTCAAAAACACTAAAGTCAAGCACTAAATCATTCTCCGTTAGAACTTATAACCTCCCACCTCTCAATAATTTGAAACACTCAGTAATATTCTAACCTCGACTTTCAATTTTTATACCGTAATTTGTACCAATGGAAGAGTTTTTGATAATTTTCTCGGCGATGTCTCGTCAATTCAATAACCATAACATGGCGTCCTGGATAGGCAATTTAGATACATCACTTTTATAGTGATACAATATATTATTTCTGTCGTCACTCAGAAAACAACCTCTAAGATTAGATTAGCCGATTAGGTATATAATTTTTTAAGGTAAATAGCCGGTAAAATGTATTGCTATAATAATAAATATTCCCGAAATCACGATGGTTATGATTCATAACTTATGAACAATACAAATGATAAATATATTAGCAACAATATCAACAGTTCATTTAAATTAAACTTTCCTAAAATGAAGGATATAGATATTCCAGACTGTCCTTTAGTCATCTAAATTATAGCATATTTGGGAACATTTTTTATAATTTGTTTGGGCACCAAAAATATAAAGACTCTGTTTGGATAACAAAAAATTAAAGGATCGAGTGGGATGATTGGATACTGGATTCAAATGTGTGTCATGTACATTCTATTTGTCTTTTATCCGTAGTAAACTTTACTGACACGGATAACTGTAAAATTTTCGTTGAAATCATTGTATGACTAAATTCTTGATCAGTGTGATGGGATGTACGTATGGTATCGATAAATAAGTAAAATAAAGGTACAAGTTATGGCTTTATAATTTATAACTTTATAATATGATTGTTAGCAAAGTATATATCAGACTTTATGTAGTTTATTCGATGGCTTAGAATTTACTTTTATTAGATCTGGGAGGAGGGTCGACCAGGAGCTAAGTTTAAATCTATATACTACCGAGGTTCAAACCAAGGATTGAAAATATTAAGATTAATGGGATATTAAAATTATCAATATTGATGCCCAAAAGTTGGGCTAGCGCCTGAACTTCTTCATACGCTTTCGCATACCATTTTAAAGAGGTTAGTGGAAGTTACAATGTAGGATATGATTGTTATACAATACAAAATATATTAATTTTTTTAAAGACGTTTTTATGTAGTTCAAATTGTATAAATTAATTGTATGATCTTCAGTTGTTTGAAAATGCAATTTCTTCGATCCATGGAATATATTTGGCTACTCTAGTATAAATTCCGGGGGTATCCTTGTCTGCACAAAATTTCCCAAACGAAGTAATCCCGTACTGTATATACATGTCGGGATAGTCGGGATGTCTTACTTGAAGTGGACCTCCCGAATCACCCTACAGAAATTTTTATATTATTTAATCAATTAAATTTCTACAAAGTATTACAACTTCCATAGTTCGTACCGTGCAAGTGTCTTTTTCACCATCAAACGAGCCCGCACATATCATCCTGTCTGGTAATATGCCGAATTGTAATTGACGAGTATTTGTAATATAACTTTCATT